AACTCTCTCCCAGTGGTATTTAACATGTGCTTGAGTCACTCTTAAAATGGTCTCTTGGACCAGTGATGGTTGGCATCTGCTTTATGGGAAAAGATGCTTCAGCAGCCTCTGCCTGCTCTGGGATTCTGTGGCAAGCTGTCCTCCTAGGCTTGACCACTGTTGCCCACCTCCACTTGACCACAGATGCCTGCCCCATGCCCACCACTCCCGGTATTGTAGGCTGACTAGACTAGCGCACCCACTAAGGGTGGATGGACTTGGTTTTCGTTCCCTCAGGGTATTTAAATGGAGAGAAAGTAAACAAGAACTAACTCTTTTGAGCCCTTCCTAAGTCATGACACTGTTGCAGGCATTTTATGTAGATGATCTCAATTTTTCTCACGTTGTCATCATTTGTGTGCCATCTTCATGGTGTCTGCCATATCAGAGCTATTCATTCATTTAGTATTTTTCTTTGAATTGACTTGCTTTTTAAAAAGGCATGTAATTTATTTTCAATGGAAACTATATTATTTCTATAAATCACAGTTTAGCGTGCTGGTTTTTATTTGTTCTATAATGCATCAATTGTGAGCTGTTAAAATAACATTTGTTCATCTATATACCACCTAAAATCATCACACACACCATCAATCACATACCTTCTGGCCTTTGGGAAACACTGTAGTGTTTTAGTTAATGCTCACATATCCCAGGCTAACAGATAACAATGTGGAGACTCCAAGGAGTCCCTGCTGGAAGTCCCACAGGCAGAAAAGGCTTGGGGCTGAGATTTGAATCCACATAGTTTAACTTCAAATGGCTAGGCTCTTTCAACACTAATGTTTCCCAAATGCCTTTGAAAAAAAAAGTCTAACACAGGATTCCAATCTCAGAATGACTCCTGATCTAAACAATTCATTTTTTTTTTAATGGATCTGCCTCTAGATGTCCCAAGCCCATATCCTAGAAGATTGGGTACCATATTAGTGTAGGCCACAGAGAATACCCAACTCTTGCTAAGAATGGCAGCACTGCTCTATAGACACAGAAAGGCTTTGGATTTCCCTGCCCCCTGCCCCCATTGCTTACACTTTCTTCCTTTCTTCCTTTCTCCCCTCCTCTCCTTCTGAACCTCAGAACTCTTACTTTGTGTATTAATATCTGCTCTTATTTTTGTCATGTTGTCTGCTATGTAAATATGCAGTATTTGTTTTTGTTACTCTAACTTGCTTTACTACACATAATTCACTTGAACTCCCCCCGTTTTGCTTAAATGGTTGTGTTTCATCTTTCCTTGTGACTGAATAATATTTCACAGTGTGGCTAGACCACATTTTCTTGATCCAGTCATCTATTAATGGAGGTGAAATGCATTTTTGAAATCCAAAGAATCCTTTAAAAATGAAAGTGTGTGCTTATTCCATATATAAAGCAGATATATGGGGCTGTTGTATTCAGAGCTTCTTTTGGAAGTCTTCCCTTGCCTAAACCCAACATATATTGGCCCTTGAAATCCCCTTGCAGAAGCCTGGGATGCTGAGGAACATTACTTTAAATGTACATGCTATCACCCTGTCTGTTTAGTTCAATTTCTTGTAAACCAAACTCTAGAAGGACAACTTCTGGGTCTTTGCTATCATTTTGGTGGCTATTTCTCCTTTGGACCTTTGCTGTCTTGAAATCAGGAAAATTTCCATCTTGTTGTCTTGAAATCTTTCTCTGGAAGTCTAACTCTGATGTAGTTATTCATTCATTGAACAACAATGTCTCCTCTCTACCCAGGGTTTTAGAGAGCACAAAGCAGGGAGTGAAGGTAGGCTGAAAGAAGTAGACGTAGCACCTTTGATGGGTTTCCCAGCCAGTGTAGGAGACAGTCACACATGGACACAGGTAAATACAATAAGATGTGAGAGACCCTGCTCATTGAATCTCATTGTTTCCTCAGTTTCTGCCTCCCTCAGGTGCCTGGTTGCATCCTGTGAGGGTCAGTGCCTGAGATGGGCCAGCCAAGAGACCCAGTAGTGCTGCCCCCCTCTTCTGGGGCCTTGTCTGATTCCCCGTTGTGCTTTCTGGGCCACTGTTCCCTTTCACAATCAATGTCTGATGTAAGACTGGAGTTAGAATCATGTATCACTAAGACCCCTCAAAGCTTCACTCCAATAAGATGGAGTGAAGACAAACACTCCAATTTACAATGGTGTCAGCATCTGAAATATGGTGCTCTACCTGGCTCCTGCCTCAGTCTGCCTTCTCTCCTCTTGGAGGAGTCTATGAACTTCCATAGCTAGAGACCATGAAGTAGATGTCCCCGGAGATTCTGTTGGTCTGAAAATATGGCAAGATCCTGGCAGAGTTCCAAGAAATTTTAAAGATTCCTAGAGGATATTCAACCTTGTGGTGCCCGTTGACCAAGCCAAGACTGCTGTCCTTTTCTCCCCATCCTAGACAGGGTCCAAGTCCTCCATCTTTGGAAGGCCCAGAATGTCCCCAGAATATCACCTTTAGGATCTCCTCTGTCTGTGAGACCAGGTCTAAACTAAGTTTGAGTTCCCAGAAATATCCCCCTTGGTAGGCCTTAGGGTTGGGTCCATTAGCAAACTCTAAGCAACTAAAGTCAATTGAATTTAACTCAATGCATACTATGCACCTCTTTGCCTTTTCCAAGTTATGACTGGGGGAAAGTTAGAATCCAACAGTTAACATGACACAATCTTCACTTACAAGGAGTTTTCTGTTTTGAACCTAGATTCCAGACTCAAACTTTTCCTTGATCTAAGGCAGCTCTTTACACAAGGGACTGAGAAGAACTTCCTTTCTGGCCAGAAGACAGCTCAATCAGTGGACTAATTCCTGGAGTCTGCTCCTTAAGTCTTCTCAAACTACTCTTTTGGGCCTTCATGACTTTAAGACTTCAGAATGCAGAGTGAGTTGTTTCCTCACCCTATAGGATGAAGCTCATAAGGACCATGCTTAATTCATTCACAAATCTGCATTGAGCACTTGCTAAGTGCCAGACACCATGCAAACTTTATCTAATTTAATTCTCTCAGCCATCAGCATGAATGCAGAGCCAGTACATGACCAGATAGAATTGAATACAGCCTTAATGCCAAATGCTCTCTTTCCATCTCATCCTACTATCTTTTAGCACAATTGAATAGGATCCAAACAAAGGATAGTGATCATGAAATGCTTAAATAAACACCTCCTGTATGGCAGGAAGGAGTAGATTAATAAATATTTTATGTCAGGCGAAATCTCACCTGACCAGTTTATTAGAATTCTTTGAGAAGTGAACTATAGGGAGATAAAGGGTGACTTTCACAAAAAGCCTTTGTTAGGTTTTCACCCTAAAGCCTATTAATAAAATTGATTCATTATAGAATTGGGCAGAGGTGGGTGGTGAGTGGGAGGGAATCTATTTTTGCATGGATAGAGAACTGGCGTAGAGACAAGAAGAAGGTGGAGATTAATGGGTGCTTTTTCAAATGGAGAGCTTGGGTTCCCCAGGAATTGATATTGGTTTTGGCCTTAGAGAAGATCGAATACACATGCAGTGAGTGCCCATTGGGTGCATCGCCTACATTCTGCAGTCAGACTCAGTTCCCCTCCTGATGGAGCCCAAGGATGGAAGTGTTCAGAGAAATCTCCATGTTTCCAGAGATTAAGAAATTGCTCTTCAGGCTGAAATGTAAAGACAGTGGAGATGAAATTGAAGAAAGTGTCTCAGGGAGAGGAAAGAGCCCCAGAGAGTTATCAGAAGATTTGAGCTCTGGGACTGGTTCTGGCACTGACTTGCTGTGTGACACTGGACCAGTGCTCTCCCTCTCTGGTCTCGATTTTCTCTACTATACAACAAAATTATTGGACTAGATGATCTGAAGAGTATGTGCTTTGCATGGAGGGCAATGACTTGAAACGTGACCTTCAGTCTTTGTCCTTTAATGGGGAATCTCTCTCTCTCTCTCTCTCTCTCTCTCTCTCTCTCTCTCTCTCTCTCTCTCGTCAGCAGTGAGGATGAGGCAGAGAGCCATGAGGTCTGTGATGCTGAGGCTGGGAGCCCAGCCTGGAATCCCTCAGTGGCATTCGCTGGGAGTGACTCAACATCATAAATAGCTCCCATCTGGGTGAGCAATGATATCTATAGCGATCAAGCAATCTCTATATCCACACACACGCTCTCTGTGCAAATATGTGGTTCACTGTATGCTAAATACGAGGTGGCCTGGAGACGTTCCTCCTCTTAAAAAATTATTTGGTATGAAACTCAAGACTGTTTATTTAAAGAAACAAGTTTACAACCATGCACATTGGATTACTGGTAGTAGGTGTTGGGGAAGAACCCTTGTGGATAAAGGGACGCTGGGTGTGATCCCAGCTTTCACAACACCTGGAAGAGGAGCTGTCTTTCATCTTTCCATCTGCAGCTGGCAGGGGTGATGGACACCACACAGGAGAAACTTGAAATCTTGGGATGGGAGAGGGAGTAGAGGTGGGAAGAATACTGAACTCATAAACTGCAGTTCAGCAGAAAGAACATGAGACTTGAGTGACAAGAAAACCAGGTTCTAGCCCTGCTCTTCCCTGCCATTAATTCACTCATTCATTCATCAAACAAGTACAGATCATCTACAATGTACATAGGCCCCTTGGGGATACAGACAAGAAAAAGAGGTTGGAATTCAGCCTAAACCACCTACCAGCCTCTTGTCTTTGGGCAAGTCCTTTCTCCTCTGAACTTCTTCATTTTCAAACTGGGGATAATAGCACACACCCAATGTTTGGGGGCAGGTAACATCATTGAATAAGATAACACACAAGCAGCACTTCTCTGTTGTAAACAACTCTGAAAGTACAAGCCAACACCATTCTACCACACAGCCAGACGGATTCATCTCATTCCCACTTTCAAGTGTTCTTGGCAATCATCGATAGGAAATGTCACCATGACTCCCTTCACCGGGGTCAGGGGCACCCCGAACACCGCCTGTAAATGTGGTCCTGGGAAGTACACTTACCTCTGTTTCTTGGCCAAACTGGATGTAGGAGCCTCAGTCAATGGACAGAGCAGATCGCATGCCAGAGACACACAGCTTCCTGGAGGAGGAGAGAAGGAGTTGAAGGGAGATGGAGAGAGCTTTTTGGGGGGCTGGCTTCCTGAGTGGGTGCTGAACCTCAGATTCCACTGAAGGGAGGCTTGCACCTCTTCTGAAGCCACAGTAATCCTTTTTTTTAAGTAACATTTAAAAAAATTATTTATTTAATTTTGTGTAGAAGAACTGGGGTGTAGGCCAGATGTGCAGGGTGTTTGTGTGTGTGTGTGTGTGTGTGTGTGTGTGTGAGTGAGAGAGAGAGAGAGAGAGAGAGAGAGAGAGAGAGAAAGGATTCACCAGAGATAGAGTGGGGAGCAGAACAGGCAAATCAACTGAAATACACTGTTAAGGGGACCAGCAGGTGGGACAGGAGAGGTCTGCTGTGCCATGTGGGTCAGCTCCCTGGCTGAGATTGAACTCAGGCCTTTGTGGTGGTAGTGCTGAGACTTAACCCTTAGGCCACCAGAGAGACCCCCCAGTGATCCTCTTGATTCCAGCAAGAGGCTAGGCCTCAGACCCAATGCTTGACACCCCCTCACTTACTGACCCCAGACCTTGTGTAGGACCTCTGACCACGTCGCCTCTGGCTTAAATGTGATTTCTGACCCATGTCATTGGGTGGAGCTTACTGCTGGCAGTTCTGGGATTAGCTTTGAGGAAATCCATCACATCTCAGCTTCAGTTCCACATTCGTAAAATGGGGCATTTACTAATGATGGCACCCACATCATACACTAAGTGCTATGTGCTTGTACTGTTGCTGTCAGTAAACAAGATGCTGTGAAGACATGGGTTACATTGTAGCTCCTCAAATTTTACTTACTGTCCTCTCCTTTCTCCTAGGAAGTGGTGCACATTCCTTAAAAGGTAAGGGTGGGTCTAACCCGACTGTTTGCAGAGCCTGTGCAAGCCCTCACAGAAAATGGGTACATACCCTGCAATATTTGTTGACCGAGCCATGCTCCACAAGTGCGTTAGACATGCTTCTGCAAAGTTAGGGTTAGTCGGTGCTCTACTCCTGAACAGTAGATGAAAACACAGGTGTGGACACAGGAAATGGTGGGGCCAGTTTCCTACAGGGGAGAGCAAAGGGCTGCACCAGAGCCCACAGTCCTACTTCTCTGCACCCTGCTGCACTAGGGCACCTCCTGGTCAAATGCCAAGGGCTGGCAGCTGCAGGGCTGCAATATTTGCTAGCAGAGGTTTGAGTGTAAACTGTCACCTTCTCTTTGTCTCCCTTCCAGAGCCACAGTCCTGTGATTCTGAGTGGAGACTATTGTCTGATCAATAGAGGTGAGGACTGAGGATTTGCCCCAGATCACAGACATGTACATGGCGGAGCAGGGATCGCAACAGATCAACCACCAGATGAACAAATCAACACTTTATGGAGGTGGTCTCCTCCCCCTCTAATTCCCCCTCATGGCACAGCACCTAGTTCCCTGGTCTCAGCTAATATCTCCATCACCCCCAGTCCCCCTGCCAGAGTAGGGCTCAGAGAGGCAGGGCCCTGCTGATTCCCCAGAGCCTGCTGTTTAGCAGGACCTGATGAATAAATAGCTGTTGAGTGAGTGAATGGATGAGTAAATAAGTGGGTGAATGTGCCAGGCCATGCCCTAAATGTTGGTGACAGCACAGTGAATAGGGCAGCTTTCAGAGAGCTGACAATGGTTGAATTAAAACTAGCCAGTAAGTAAGAAGCAGGGCAGCTGTTACTGCTTCTGACTGGCCAGGTGAGGAGGTGGGCAGGAGTGATGTGGGTGGAGCCTGCTGCAGCTAGGGACTGGCATCTTGGAGCCAAAGGCCACCTCCCAGCTTCAGGCAGTAGGTTGGGACACTGGACTTTAGGAAGGCAAGGCAAGGAATGTGGGTGTCATAATCGAGTGTTTAATGTCTATGTATTGCTGAGTCCAACCAGCTAGCCCCTTGCCTGGTGCATACTTAGTAGACTTGTTCAGTGAATGGAGGGTGAGAAGAGATTGTGTCGGGATGACTCAGGTCTTGGGACTTGTGGGAATCAATAGTGTTAATGGAAATATTACCACTTATACTTGAATGGGGCTTCATTGTTCACAGAGCCCTCTCGTGCACAGTATGCTTTCCACTGCCAGGAGAGGGGCCCATTCAGCAAGCATACATTAGAGCAGGATGTGCTGCCACACAAGCTGCAGGGCCACGGTGCCATGCCCACTGCATCTGCCATGTCCCTCGCCCACAGTCTCTAATAAGCCCGTTAGCCTGGGAGGCCACGTAACCCCATCTTCCAGAGGAGGGCATGAAGGCTCAGAGAGGTCTTGATCTTGTACAGTGGGACCCCAGGTCTTACTCAAGGCAGGAGATGCTTAAAGCTCATAGTCTAATGGGGACACAAATGGGAAGGCAGAGAGTTAGGGTCAATGTGGCCGCTCCATGAATGCAGGCTTGTCAGAGGCACTTCATCACCAGGAGTCAGCAGGAAAGGCTTCCCTGAGAAGGTGACCAAAACTGAGGCTTAGAGGACAGTGGAGCAGGAAGGACTTTCCAGGTGGAAGGGACAACATATATAAAGCACGGAGGGCATGTGGATGACTCAGGAACTTGGAGGAATTAGGGCACCTCAGGGAGAAAGGTGGGACTGGGAGATTGTCAGGTTAGTTATGAGGGGCTTTAGTGGGGCGTGGGCTTCGCCCTGAAGGTGACAGGGACAGTCTGGGCTTTGCACTCTAGAGGGTACCTTCTGGGGGCAGAGTCGGGGTGGGGATGAGAAGGAAGCGTGAAGGCAGGGAGCCAGAGGGGGAGAGGTATCGAGGCTCAGGGTGGCCAGATGGGAGGACCAGGTAGCAGAATTGTGCTTGATGAGATGTGGGGTGGAGGGAGAATCAGACTCAGCCTTCTGGCTTGGGAGGCTCCTGGAACCATGAGATGGGGGGGGGGCTCCGTTTGGCTGACTCACCTGTGGGAATAGAGGTCCTTCCCCAGCCCCCAAGAAGATCCTTGTGGCAGGTTCTGGTCTCTCTCCCAGCCCCAGCCAAGGCCTCCCTTGCCACTAGACTGCTCCCAAACTGTGTCCTAGCAACCTCGTAGCCCTCACCTAGGCAACGCCAGCTTATGCGCTCTCTTCCCCTGATTGGGCAGCCCAGGAAGGTGGAGCTGGATGCCTCCTGTCCACTCCACCTGCCTGGGGAACCAGTCCAGCCGCCAGAGCCTGTGCCCCTGGACTCATCAGGCAGAGGCTGGCCAGTCAGGGCCTGATTGTCCAGTTGCTGGATTCTGGAGACGAAATCTTATTAGCTTCCCAGTCCACAGAGGGGGGACACTGAGGCTTGAGGAGAAATGCACATTCCTCAGGGTCCCATAGTGTACAAGGAGTGCCCGCTTGGCATTAGACTGTGCCTGGGATGGCAGACCAGGCGTTACCTCCTGGCTGTGTGGGCCTGCTCAGGCTCCTGTCTCCACAGCTCAGGCAGGCAGTGGTCAATGAGGCCTGTACGAGAAACTGTCTGATTTTTGATAGGTCATAGCAGGGGGCTCCGATGCTGGCTCCCAGTGGGAAGGGGACCTAGGAAGTGTCCTTGCCATTGAGTGAACATGTCCGGTCCAAGATTAGATCCTGCACATGCATGGACCCCCCCGTGCCTCAGTCTTGATATGGCAATTTTGAATCCTGTTTTTATTTGAAATTTTGGATATTTTTGTCATTATAGATTTGTTCATTTTTTTTTAAAGAGATTACATAGAATGTTATTTACTTCGATGATGAGTTTGTTAGTGCCCCTTACATTTTCTACCTGACACTGGCGCTCACTCAGTCCTGGCTACCTCTGTGCCTTCTCCCTCTCCCTCCTGCCTCTTGGCATTAGGATGCTGCCCACAAGGCACTGCAGTGCCCACCAGCTGCCAGCTAGTGATGGATTTCTTTCCCAGCAGGGGAGCCCATCATTTTGCTTGCCCTCTGGCTGACCCATTTAAGAAATGGCAGCAGGGTGCTGGCCTAAATGGGGCCCGGTGGCGGGGGACACCAGTCTGACATGGGCTTCCCCTGATCTAGCCTCTATGGTGGAGTGACAGAGGGGAGTGTCTTGATTACAATTTAGATTATGCCACCCTTCTCCTCACATAGTCTTCAAGGCCCTGCCCGCTCTGGCTCCTGTCAGCCTCTTTGCCCTTTTCTTTTACCTTCCTCCCCCTCACTCTCTTGGTTCCTGTTCTGTGACCTTGTCATTCTGTGACCTTGTCCTACTCCAGAACCTCTGCACTTTCTTCAGGGACCCTTGTCCCACGGGCCAGCTGCTTCTCCCTGTGCAGCTATCAATGTCCAGGACTTTTTCTTGAGTCCCCCCGGCTGCCTTACAGAAACGGGCCCCACCCTCCTTAGCTCACACTCCTTAATGTCCTGGCGCCTGTAGGACCCGGTGAACATTTTATTTATTTGCTTGCTTTTTTTCTATCTCCACAGTGGGTCATGAGCTCCATAAGAACATGGGCTGTATCTTGTCAGTCTTCTTTATGGTCCCTCCAGCAGCTAAAGCAGTGCCTGGCCCATCGCTGGTGCTCTGCACGTACTGATGGATCAATGGGCCACTTCCTAGGCTTCAGAGTCCACATTGGTAAAATGGGATGATAAGTCAACCCCCCAGAGTTACTGTCAGAATCAAAAGCCAAATGACCTAGTGATGGTGGTGGCAGTGATGGGGGCATGTTTATCTCCATTTTATAGATGATGAACTTGAAGATCAGATAAATGGTGGGTCTTGCTTAAGATTCCCAGCCAGTAAGTGCCATGGTTGTGGTTCTTTCCAGGTTGGAGAAGCACCTGGTTTGGTGCTGGGAGCAGGCGTTCAGGGCTGTGAGAGCTGGCTCTGAGCTCCTGTGAGTCTCTTACCATCTGTTGCTTGAACTGCGAGACCCTACTTGCCCACCAGCCTGTCACCGCTTCCTGAGGAGTCAGAGAGAGGAATGCTAATGGCAGGCTTTTGTGGAACACAAAGGTCTGCCTCTTGCAAATGTAGAAATATATTTTCTCTGCATTGGCAATTACCACGTGAAATGTCTGGGGAATGCTTTTCATCTTCCAGGCACTTTACCAAGATTAACTTCTGAACCCTGTGCAGCAATGCCGGTTGCAACTTGAGAGGTTGTCTGGGGGGAGTGTGGGTGGCAGTGTGTTCTGTCACAGAAGTGGGGGTGGGAAGGCCTTGTGACCCTCAAGTCAATACCTCTAGGAGTTTGGTTGAATTTCCTGAGAGTGGTTGCCCCGCCGAGCTTCTTGAAGATTTAAGAATCCTTTTCCTGTTCTGTTTAGTCATTGATTCAGCAATGTATTCCACAAATATTTACTGAGAATATTCTAGATGTTCTTTTAACCTTGAGGATGCAATAAGGGAATAAAATATATACTGTCTCCACCTGCCTCCAATTCTGGGTCAGGAGGGGAGAGAGATGTCTTGCTGCTAAATGCCTGTGTGACTGTGGGCTGGAGCCTTTCCCTCTCTGGGCTTTACTCTCAACCCCTTGGCTCCCTGCTGCAAAGCTGTTGATGGCTCCTCCTTGTTCATCGAGTGGCACGGGCACATCTTCAAGGTCTTCAGAGTTGGGCTCTGCTTGACATTTTCCAGTGTATGGTCCCTACTCTCCCACTCCCATCTCACCCTCTCTTGATTTAACCATCTCTCACATGTCATCTTGTAAATGCCAGGCACTGTCTAAGCACTTCATTAATTTTAACCTGTTCAATCCTCGATCCTCACAGAAACACCTTAAAATAAGTGCTGTGATTCTCATCATCTTCCAAGATGAGGCCATTGAGATATGGAGAGGTAAATAAATTGCCTAAGTCCACACAGCTGCTAAATGGAATGGCTGGGATTTGAATCCAGGCAGCCTGGCTCTTGTTCATGCATCCACTGCTGCCGTGTTGCTTCTCTGTCTGCCCTGGGCATGGGCCCTCCTCTTTCCTTTTTTAAGTACAACTCAAGAGCTATTTATTGCCACTTGCAGGAAGACTTTCTGGATGCTTCCAGGCTGAGTGAATTCTTATTGTCTCTGTGCCCTGTACTCCTCCCTATCATAGCCCTGCTCATGGGCTATTGCGGTTTGGCTACTGTCTCCTCTGGTGGATTCTAAGCACCTCAAAGGAACAGTCTTGTCCTCTCTGCCCCCACTGTGCCCAGACTAGCACCTCCATATCAACCATTCTCCAAGCAGCAACCAGAGGAATCATAAAAAACACACACCAGTTTTTATGACTCCCTTGCTTAAAACCACCCAGTGACAATTCATTGCATTTAGAATTAAATCCCAAACCCTGACCAGGCACTAGTAGACTCTGCATGGTTTGGGTCCTACCCCCTTACTGCCCCCATCTGCTGCCACTCTCCCCCTGCTCAGTCTGCACCCACCACGCTGGCTTCTTGTCTGCACCCAAACAGGCCCGGCTCACATTAGGGTCCCTGCCAGAGCCATTTCCTCTGCCTAGAATGTTCAGCCCCACATCTTCACATGACATGACTTCTTGTTATTTGGGCCTCAGTGCAATGTCACCATTTCGCACAGACTTCCCCTACTGTCTATCTGCTTAAGTGTTTTCATATTTACTTGAATTGTTATTAATGATTACGTCTACTACCATCTGTAAGCCCCTTGGGAGCAGGGATCGGGGCATCTTGTTCAGCACCTGGAAGAGTGCTTGGCACAGACATTGAATAAGTGCTGGAGGAGGAGTAGATGTTCACCAAGGTCCCCATGGGAGCCTACTGATAACAATTCAACTAGGCCCATGTTAATACATCTAAATCTGTCTCATCTCAGACTAAGGGTTGGGATAATTTCTTAAGATGAAATTCACCAGCTTTATCACTTTCCAACATCTTGCCTACAATTATCCTCCCAGAGCTAACATGATTTTATTGACCATATTCTGTTGATTTCCCATCACCAGAGATGCATAGAACTCCTTGTATGTGTTTTAATTTGTCCATTTAAGATTTAGGGAAACTTGTGAGATAATTCCCTTCTTATTTTATAAACAGGAACATCCCTGAAAAGTGGAAATGCTGACTTGTGAAGGTCCCAGAGTCTTATCAGAGGACACCCCCATCATGGTCATCACATTTCATCAATAACAGGAGAGACTCATGCTCCAGAGAAGCACAAGAACCCTGAGTCCTGCCAGGGCCTGGGCACCGCTCACTAAGCACTTTAAAGGAGTGGCGATCTAAGTTAAGAGCATGTGCAGCCAAATTCAGAGCAGATGCAGAAAGGTGTATCCAGTGAGGCCAGTGGGATGGGCAAAAATCCACAGATGTGAGGTCTAGGTGACTGACTTCAGAGCCCTTTGTTAATGCGAACCAAGGGGATTGGCCAGGAGACTCACACTCTGATGGGAATATAGATTCCACTATCAACAACTTCTTCCATAGGATATGGAGAGTAAATGCATCAGGGTGTCTAAAAGATCAAGTGCTGTATGCTATCATCCTCTTGAGAACCAAGGACATTTCTTGGATCCCCCTCTGCCTTTCAGTCTCTTTGGGATTGGGAAGAAAATGACACCCCAAGCTTATGTGTTGAGAAACTCTAAGGCTAAATCTTCTAGGCAAAAAGGTGAACCAAAGAGAACTCTGGGTCATAAGTCAAAAGTTTTGGCTGTGATCTCAGCACTGAGGAACATTGGAGGAACATTGGGAGAATTCTTCCCTGTCTCTGACCTTTTTGGCTATTGGGTACGATGATTTCCAAATCACTGATTTCAGTGACTTTAAGTCTTGTATTCCTATGACTTTATGATTCAGGTTACTTCAAAAGGAAAGTTCTAACATATTTTCTTTTTTTTCTTATGTATTTAATTTGTCTTTTGACCAGGCTTGCAAATGATCACTAGCCTATGGTCACAGTGTAGATAGTAGAGATAAGTAATTCTGACTTGGTAAAACTTGAGGGTTGTGTTTTTTCAGAAGTATTTTCTCAAATGCAGCGCCTCATCACCAGAGTGTGACCTCTGTCAAAACTTTCTGACAAAGACAGTGATGTTCAGAACAGATCGAGGAGGGAAAGTCATAATCTGAATTAGTGACTTCCCGAGTCATTAATTCACCATTTGTATCATAGAAGCTGTTCTCAATGTTAAAATCCTTCTACATGAAATGATATGATGTCTTGGATTTGCTTCAAAGTAGATTTCTCTCTCTCTCTCTCTCTCTCTCTCAAGAGTGGGTGTGGGTATAGATGAAACAAAATTGGCCAACTATTGAAGCTGTTCAAGTGTTATTGAAGCTGGATGGTGGGTATGTGGGGGTTTATTATACTATTGTTTCTATTAAAAACAAATCTCAAATATTTCTTCCCAGAAGGCCTTTTGGAAACAGGCTCCACCTTTTATCCCCATTCTTATTTCACAGTCCCATCCCAAGGACCCTCTGGCATAGTGGCATCACCCTGAGGGCTGTGATTCATGCATCTAAGCCTTTACACACAGTCCCATCTGTCTGAAGTACTTTCACGCCTCCCTCCTCACGCCAGCTCACCACTCCTGCCTCTAAGATCCTACAGCCTTGTATACTCACCTTGATGATGCACTTATATGGCAATGCTTTGTTTCCTGTTTCCTCTGCAGGTGTGTGTTCTCGTCAGGACAAGTCTGTCTCCTTAGTGCAAAGCCAGTGCCTGGCGCTAGGAGATCCTCCATACACGTTCACAGAAGTAATAATAGCAGGCACAGTAGATGCCATTTTCTGAGTATTTATTATGTGTGAAGCATTGCCCTAACCCATAGCATATGCATGTCATTAAATTCTCACTAGAAAAGGGTTCTGGTAACCTGCCTTCTCAGATCGCTTGTCCAAGGTTATGTGCTAATAATGAGAGGGTTGCGATTTGGACCCAGAAATGACCCCCCACCCCCCTCCTCCCTGCCCCGCATCTGGCATTTTTAAAGACTTCTCTATAAATGTTACACAACAGGTCCAGGACTTTGGGATCCTGTGATATAGGCCTGGTTCTGCTACTAAATTGCTGAGTGACCTTGGGCCATTCACCTCTGGCCCCCAGGCTGGTCTCCCGGTGAGACTGTCAGTGAGCCAGAGGATCGCCTGGCGCCAGGGCCTTCTCAGCTTCAGCCACCAGAGAAAAGGTTTCCTCTTCCACAATTGGTTTCCTACTGCTGAACTGGCTTCCTCCTTTGGAAGCTTCTCATACACCTTCAACCTCTTTTCTTGCTAACTGCAACCTCTTAGAGGCAAATCGAGTTCACGACCTGCTGCCCGGATCCCCCCACTTCCCCTTCCTTCCTCAACGGCCACTCTCCCGAGGTGGGGGCAGAACTCTGGGCAGGAGGGAGAGGGGAGCACGTAGCTGCCGGTTCGTGTGGCTTCCCCGCGGTTTCTCGGCCCCCTCCCCCACGGAAACTCAGCTTCACACTTTCTAGGGATGATTCGGGGACAGCCAGAGTCAGTGATTGCAGCTGCCAGCCGCGGGCATCTCTCTATGGGAGGTTCTCCAAAGAAAGTCCGTGGTCTTGAGTTAGGGAGGAGGTGGGGGTCTGGAGGAACGAGGGGGAGGCGCACCCCTTCCTAGCCTATGCCCAGTTCTCCCAGCTGGAGCCCGCAATCCTTCGGTGCCTGTCTCCCCTCCCACTCTATCCGACTTCCAGCTGGGACCCGCCATTGCACGACCAGGCAGGCCTTGGCGAACTGAAGACCCAAGTCAGAGACGCGCGATTGCGACTAGGCCCCCCTCCCCAGCTCGCCCCAGACACTGCCCTAGGGGAAACCGAAATCCCCCAATCGTAGCCATCACCCACCCCTTAGGAACTCTGGAGACCCAAGCCCGGCGGCTTTGTTCCCCGAGCGCCGGGGAGCCGGCGCGCAGCCGGCAGGAGCTGTCCGCCGCCGCGGTGCTGACGCGGGGAGAGCAGCCCGCGGGGGCGAGGACTGTCCTCGGCTGCCGCGTTGCTAAACCCGGACGGAACTAGCAAAGGAGCCGACCCGGAGGACGCGGTCCGCCTTTCCAATACCGACGCGGGGAGAGGACCCGTTCGGGCGCGGGAGCTGCTCCCGAGGTGGTGCTGGAGCGAGAGGGAGCCCGCTGCGCCCTCCGCCTCGCCCCGGAAGAGCCGCCGGCGTCTGAGAGCTGGCCGGGGAGGGAGGCAGGGCCGGAGGAAGCCGCCTTTAGGAAGCTCCGCAGCGCGGGGCCTATAGCTAGGGTCTCTCCCGCGAACCTGCTCTAGCAGAGGAGGTGGCGGCTCATCAGCAGAGAGCAAGCGCGCGTTCTACGAACCTGTTGGAGGCTGCAGCTCCTCCGCGGCCGACCAGGGCGCCCGGGACGGAGATTCTGGCGCGCCTTTCCCTCCCTCTCTTCTTGGCCTCCTCCGCCGAGGCTCTCCCTCCTGCCTGAGCTAGCACCTGTGCACGCGGGGAGCGCCGAGCCCCTCTTTGGTCCGCCCCAATGTCAGTCTTGCTGCAGGGCACAGAGCCGAGAGGCCTCCCCCAAGGGCAGACCCGCTCCCAGGGAGACCCAAGCTTCCTGAGAAAGGAGGCGGGGGCTGGCGGCGGGGACGGGAGAGGGCGCCAGCAGAGGTGTCTGTGAAACCAAAAGGGAGACGTGGGGAGTTCCCCATACAGGCAGTTCTGCCCTAAAGTTCGCGGAATAGAGTTTCCTAAACCTTCTCTCTATAGAGAGCATTTACATAATAAACAGCAAACTCTTTGGTGCATTATTTAAGGTCCTTCACCCGGAAAACCAGGGCCTCCTCTCCAGCTCTGTTCCCTCCCACCAGGACAGACGACCCCTCGTTCTGGAAAGGTGCACCCCAGTGCCTTAGAAACCCCTGTTCCTTTTGGCTGGAACTTTCCACCCTCACATGACTCAGACTTTATCTGCAAGTCTAGTGTTCTCACTCTCAATGAAAATTTCCCTCATCTAAGGCGTACTCAACCAGCCCTCCCCTAAGCTCCCCAGCCTTTACATCCCTCTACTCACCTTCTTATCACTTTGTGTGTTATAATTACCCATGAATCTATACACTCAGTTACCAGGCTCATAAAAACTGGCTCCATGTTTCATTTTTCTCTGCATCTCCATCTCAGACATGGTGTCTGACACACAATGGATGTTGCATTACGTCAGCTGAATGAATGCACACATGAGAAGCAGAAGTCAAAATAACTTCATGTGAACGTTTACTTGATTTCCATATATATATATTTAAATCAAAGCCTACAAACCCTCACGTGGTGGTATTTCTACCTAATCCACCTAATTCATCACCACCAATTCTCTCCTGACTCCAGGATTTTTTTCTACAGAGACATCTATTTTGTAGCAAACTTCAAATTTTTGTTTTTGGTTTTCTCTCCTTTGAACCCTCATTATGTTGATCTTCACATGGTTGAACTCTTCCTGTCCTTTGGATTTCTGTATTTCAAATGTCAGTTCCAAAAGAGGCCTTCTCTGCCTATTCTATCTAATTTGCTCCCCCTAATTACTTTATAGCATTGACTAATACATTTTTCTTAGTAATTATTCTCTGAGATGATTTTATTTATGTGTTTACTTGTTTGTCATTGGCTTTCCCTCAACTAAATTGAAAACTGGTGGGAGTAAGGGTCATGCCTGTGTTGCTCACTGCATTATTTTCTGTGGTTAGTATTCTGAGAAGAACTGACCTTCCACCAATGTTGTGATAGTCCCTTTCTTCCTGAGATGGCTTGAACTGTTGTGCAGGTCATGTGAAGCTTCTATTAGCTGCAAATTAACTAAGGATGTCTAAGGAAAGAGGATCACACTCATATTCCATGGGGTAGGGAAGGAGAGAGAGAAGTAGAGTCACAAGTATGTGGCCGTGAGATGACAGGTCTGAATCAGGCCCTTTTTACTCTGGATAGCAAATCCTTAATGACCACTCACTTCTCCACACCATGCAAAGTGCCTTCACTTTCCTGATATCATTTGATATTCATAGCAAGCCATCTGGAAGGTATTATTCTCCTCATTTTACATTGAAAACGATTGAAGACAAAAGAGGCGGGCTGATCCCACCAAAGACACACAGCTTGGTAAGCGGTGACGCCACTCCTGGTACTGAGCCACATGCCGAGCAGCTAGAACTAAGACCTGGCTTCAGACTGTGAGGATTTCACATGACTTAGAGACACAGGCACATACACAATGGATCATAACACAATTTGAGAGTCAGCAGTGATTCTCCACCTGGAGATGGGTGGGGTGGGCAGGAAATTGATAGGCTACAGTGTCAGAATAAACTGAAATTCTTGTCTATCACAATTACAATTTATTCAGTGCTTCCGGGGAATCATGTATTATGCTAAGTGTTTTACACACTTTGTCTCAACTAATCATTTCTGGCTATAACTATTCCCTTGCAGCCAGTGAGTTGACCAAGGTGATAAGGCTGATAAACAGCTGAGCTGGGACTTAACCTGAATTTGTTTGAGTCAAAGCTTGAACTCTTAACTGTTATAGTCCCTAGACCTAATGAATCTGAATGTTTGGTGAACAGGGATGGTTCTGGAATTTGAAGATAATTCTTAAGTCATTCTGCTATATCTTCAAAACTATTGACAAACATTCATGGAGAGAAGGCTGCGAAACAGAGGAAGGAGGGATGAAGGCTACGTGTGTGTGTGTGTGTGCATGCGTGTAGTTGCAGGAGGTTGAAATTGGACCTTGGAGGACTAAGAGGGAATTTTCAGACAGGAAAAAAACATGAAAAATATTTCAGACAGACTAAACAGAATATTCAAAGGCCTTGGGGTATGGAAATAAAGGAACTATTAGTGGTTTAGTTAGTGGTTGTGATTCTAAGTCTCCTGTAAGGGGTAGAGAATGGGAAATGAGGCTACAATTCAGCTTGAACTTGGTGGTTTGCTTTTATCCTATAGGCAGTGGAGAGCCATTGCAAGGCAAGAGCTCTGCTTTAACAGCTTCCATTATAGACATGATCAGCCCACAGCAGCATCATTGGATCGGCCCCTTATAATCTGCAAAGTGCTTTCTACCTACAGAAATATCTCTGGAGTCATGTGAACCTGACTAACTAATTAAGCTGTTTACATGATCTGTGTTCTTTTCTGTACAGAATGTCCAGAGACTCTGGAACAATGCAGGAGTTAGTAAGTATTTGTTGAAGAGGGACAAACTGGTGGAATCTAGTATAAAGACTGTTGCAACAATTCAAATAAGAGAGAAGTATCACGTAATCAAGAGAGAAATATCACTTAATCCAAGAGTATAGAATTTTTTGAGCTACTGATTTGGGGAAGTAAAAATTGAGGGCCCAACCTCTGATTACTTTGGGGAGGTTGACATTTATTTAACTTTCCAAAAATGGTTGCTGAATAATTGCAACAATTTTCTCTCCAACATACAGAAAAGTATGTTAGCACCCAGGTGGCCAACACCCAGGCAAGCCAGGATTTCTTCTGCTATTTGCACTTTATATCTTTTGGCTTCTGGATTTATGTCCCGATGGTCTCTATTATGTAGCAATACTATTATGTGCCATCATTTGTGCCAGTGTTAAAAAGAGCAATCATTATGCAAATTAAGCTCAGTTTTGGCTCAAGAACTAAAATCTACCTTCTGTTTCTCCACCCCTCTGGGAAGTCCAAATGGACCCTGAGAATAGCTTACTTACAGAGGGCTGACTTGTAGCAGGCTTTAAAGCCCTTGGCGTATATTCATCTTATGAGGTAGGTATGACTCTTGCGATCATTTTATAGGTTAAAAAAATAAATAAATAAAAAGAAATTAGGAGTCTTGCCCAGGGTTACACTTTGGTAGAGGTAGGCTTCAAAATCTAGCTGTTTGACTTAGGTCTGCAGGCTTCAATACCACACCTGACTGTCT